GGGTCTTGGTGATGTCTAGATCTTGAATGAGGCTATGCAGACCCTTACAGGGAGCTGGAAGGACTGGCCTTGTTGCATGATGGATGAGGTCAGATAGGCCTGTTGTATGGCCCAGCAATTGGGCTAGTAAGCAAAAACATTAAAAAACAAAAATAGATCATCAGAGTTCAGATCTTCCCTGATCTGTTAACGATCCCTTTTTGTGTAAAACATTGCAGATGATGCCATATAAAAACTCATTCATGGAATATATTATATGTGAAGATAAAGCCCTGATTCAATTCAGAGATTAGTTTTCTCTTTGCTCTTTTGTCATAGTTCAAAGTAGAATATCATGAATATACCCGAAGACAGCTTTCTGACAAACAGATTGGCTTAAGACTTCAAAAAGATTCCTGAATTCTTTTCAGCTAAATTGTTCTTGTTTTCAGTATCCTACTATTATTTTTCTACAAATTTATCTGGTTTGGCTATATAAACAAAGTGGTTGCATTGGAAATTGAAAGCCAACCAATCTCTCTTACTAATTAAATGAACAAATGATGCACATAGGTATTAAATAAACCACAAGATGCCAAACCACCTTTCTCATCAAAGATTTTCATAATGCTTCGAATCAGGTTTATTATATCAAACATTATCTCTTTGCTGCATACATCCAAAACATCACCAATTCACCTCACAGGTTTCAGGCTTTCATTTTCTTTTAATCACTTGTCGCAGTTTTACAGATTTTGGGAATATTTATATGTTTCGCTCATACCAAAGTGAGAGCATACCTTCAATTTATATCAGTTAACCAGATGAACATAAACAATCAAGATCTCATATTGGAAATTGAAAGTCAAGCTCTCTCACAGATATTTTTGAACCTGGATATTTACTGTTCAGAAATTAATATTAGTAATGTTATGCACTGTTTGGGCCACGGTATATACTTCCTTGATGTCAAGTTTTGATGACAATTCTCCTTTGTCTCAATTCAATTCCACTTAGAGAATTACACAACCTTGCAGCATTGAAGGCAAAAAAGAGAGCGGAGGGAATATCTAGCCAATTAACATAAAATTATTTGGGAAAAAGTGACTAATAAGGAAATCCATAGTATTCAAATTAGTAGAAATCATGACATAGTGGCATTTGGTAGTTCTGCTTACCAGACGTCAGATATTTGTGTTCCTGACCAAATATAGATAACAACTGCCTCCAGGCAGTCTTTATTAAGTTGTTTGAGAACAATAACGGATTGGAACCAAGCACAGATCATTTTTTCTTCTAACTACTGCCCCAAAAGCCTCATCCATGTCTAGATCTTCTATCTTTCTCCCACCAGGAAGTTTCCAGTTAAATGATACAGCAGCTGTGCAAGAGGTAACTCAACATTGGCAATACCATACAACATGCCAGGACACATCCTTCTTCCAGCACCAAATGGGATGAACTCAAAATTAGCTCCTTTATAGTCAATTGAACTATTAAGAAATCTCTCTGGATAAAACCTTGCAGCTTCAGTCCAATAGTCAGGGTTCCTGCCAATCGCCCACGCATTAATGATGACTTTGGACTTGACTGGTATATCGTATCCATTAATTTTGCATCTCTCAGAGCACTCTCTCGGAAGTAGCAAAGGAATAGGAGGGTGCAATCTCAAAGTTTCGTTGATGACAAGCTTCAAGTACTCTAATTCATGAAGCCTTTCACTATCAACATCTCCCTTTCTATGGAAAACCTGCCTCACTTCTGTCTGAGCCTTCTGCAAAATTCTTGGGTTTTTCAGCATTTCTGACATTGCCCATTCTACTGCTGTGAATGATGTATCACTCCCAGCAATGAAAATATCCTGAAATGGTATTAAACAAGTTCTACCTGAATAAAAAGACTAAAATACTTTCCCTTCTTGAGCTATATTTCCGGTTGTTCCCACTGCCAAAGGGATACAACTTGGGATCATGGTGAAGAGTAAATTCAGAAGATCATAAAGCAATCAAGGAAATTGTGCATTGCAATATGTAAAAATATATGAAAAATAGACTTACTAACCAATAGTACCGCTTTGATGTTGTCAATTGTTAAAGGAAATTCTAGGTTACCATGCTCTTGAAGACTCAAAAGAACATCTACAAGGTCATCCGATTCGCCCTCACCACTCCTTGCCATTCCTTTGCTAGCTTTATGTTCATTGATGACATTTTCAAGAATCTTATCCACTTTTTGGTGCAGCCTCTCAAGTTTAGGCCTCAACCCATTGAAGAACTGAAGCAATTTTACTGAAGGGAACAAGTCTGAAATAGTGAATCCTGCACCCAATTTTATAGCTTCCCTGAAAAGTAATGTGAATTCCTCTTTCTCTTTGCATTTCCCACCAAAAGCAGTCCTTGAAACAATTTCATATGTGAGAGAATATAGCATCTTACTAAGGTTGACTGGTGATCTTGCTTTGGAAGAAATTGCTCTAACCAGCTTTGATACTTCTTCTTCCCTAACTGGACTGAATGATTGCACACGTTTTGAAGTTAACATCTCCAACGTGCAAATTTTTCGCAGCTGCCTCCAATAATCTCCATAAGGTGAAAATGCAATGTCTGTTGCATTATAAGATACAATATTTGCACAAAGCAGATAAGGCCTATTGGCAAAAAAGATGTCATGGGTTTTCATCACTTCTGCAGCAGTTTCTGGAGAAGAAACAATGATGTTTGAGACCTCTCCAAGCTGAAGGTGCATCAAGGGGCCATATTTCTTGGCTAGATCACTTAATGAATGATGGGGCAGAGAGCCAGCAAGTTGGTGCATGTTCCCTATAACAGGCAACTTCCATGGCCCTGGTGGTAGATTTAGAGTCAAGTTGTTGGTTCTGAATCTCTTCCCAGGTTTCAGCAACGTGAACAGAAAGATAATGAAAGTGAACAGCATTGGAAAGGAGAAGAAAAGATGGTCCATCAACGTAAAATATTGGAGAAACTAATGGCTTTTTGTTACTAAAGCTGCATTCCATTCAATTATAATTAGTAGGTGATGTGTTGGAAACTATTCTCCATTGACTTCAGTTTGTTTCCTAGTGCAATGGCATCTTGATATTACTAGATTCCCATGTCTGTCTTAAACTACAATTGAGATTGATAACTCTATTATATAGAGTTATTTTGATATATTTTGAGAATTTAAATAGTTAAATCTTTGAGATTTTAGATTCGGATTTTAGTATTTTAGGTATTTTTCTAGTTTAAGTTTAATTACTTGTTAAATGATTAATTTAAGTTATTTTAATTAAATTTTATGTTATTTTATTTTAAATTATTATTATTAATTTCTCTTATGGCTTTTGTAAAAAATTAATGAAAAAAGCTCATCTGATGAAAATCAGTGCAAATATGATCATGATTTTATTCATATATGTTTTAGTATTTTGACCATATCTATCTCTACAAAACTCCAAATGAGGTGATTTTTAGACCACTAGAATTCCAAGAAGAAGAACTACAATGATTATGTTTACCAATTCACCCAGTTCTGATTGGATCATAGTTGAAATATTTATCAAAATGGGCGTACTGCAACAGTATGCAATGACTGAATATGATGCGGTATTTGGAGCATAGCTTTCAATCCAGAAGTCCAATTGATGTGATTCTTGAGCCATTGGAAATTCAAGAGAGAAGACTAAAACTTTTATGTTTACCACTTTGCCCAATTCAAAACATATCAAGGTGAAACTCATGTTTGAAATTGATAGACTGCCACAACGATGGGAGAACAAGGCTGCAGCATTGATAAAAGGAAGACACATATAAATTTCCAGAGAGCTCAGCGCTGTAGTGCTGGAGAAGTAGCGCCACAACGCTGGATGATTTTTTAAAAATAAAAAAATTGATGGGATTTTAAAAATTAGGTTATTTGAAGCCTATTTAAAGGACCTTTTTCAGTGCTTCTAAAGAGAGGCAGCAAGCAACTATTCTAGCGATTTGAAGTCAAGAACAAGCAAGAAAATAAGAGAATTGGAAGGAGAATCAAGATCACAAAGTTCTAACTATTAGTTTTCTCTCTTACTTTGGTGTTTTTCTTATTTTCTTTGACTTGGATTTATCATTAAATTTATTTGGATATTGTCTTTATTAGATATTATGAGCTAACTTATTTTTTTAGGATTGTAATTGAACTCACATGTAATTTAAATTTTTAATCTTTTTCTTGTTTATTTCAATGAAATTTAAATTGTTTATTCCAATTTGTTATTAATTCTTTTAATTACTTGACCACTATATTTAAATTAATGAGTTCATTTGTATTATTAATTATATAAAACTTGATAAAACTCAACAAAAATTATATAAGAAGTAAAAAATTTTGGTAAATGAGTGGTGTCATGTAACAGCACTCTCCTGAAGGTGCAGCCTTCAGTTTTCTCTTAGACAACTATTTCTTATGGGCATGAATCATTGTGTACGTTCTTCTGGAAGTAACAGACTGTGGTTATAAGTTCAATGATGTTGGAACACTTATTTTGAAGCAGCATGGATATGCTTGCAACATGCCATCCACATTCCAACCAGTATCAACACAGCCTATATTTCAAGAGACGGAGACATAAAAAGAAAATCACAAACCAGCTTAAGTTGATACAATCCATAATGTAAGAAACACCTCTAATACTGACATAAATTCATGAAATCAGCGAGACCACCTTCAGTTCTGCAGACCTCCTTACCAGGGTACATAAAATGTCATAGCATTCCATGTTCAGTAATTCATGTATCTTCTCCACTTCCAACAAAACAAAACATTTGTTTCCTAGGATGCTTGAATCACATGCTCTCTATATAGAGCATGCCTGCTGTAAAACAACTCTTAGAGAAATAACAAGTTAATAGGCAAGAGACCATTTGTTTGCACATGGACAGTTTGCCATCATCTGATTTGTCAATGACATGAGGATTCCTAAAATTTGATATCCGCTTAAGATGAGCTCAAGACAAAACCGAGTTCTGTGAATGTAATGACTGTCCTGATGGACAACAAAATGCAAAGAAGTATTTGTGATGATGGGACATCTACATAAAACAACCCTGTTAATCTTCAATTCTGATCTTCTATAACTTTCTTTTACAATAATTAGCTCAAACATCGAAACTCTTGGACTGGAAACTGATGGTCAAACCTCAAAAGCCCAGAATTAAGCTCTAAATTCTATAGCAATTCTTTAAAAGCAACCAAAAAAGGCCTAAGATATGTGGCTTTCACACCCTAATCTAATCATCTCTGGACTCTGTAGTTGACTCATTTGCCACCATCAACGTATTTCACAAAATACCCAATGCTCAGAACAAACCTTCTCCATATCTTCTCAAATAATAGAATAATGCTTGATGGAATCGCTACCGTCTTTTTCCAAAGTCAAACTTATTGACTTGCTTTAAAGATAGGATTCCTTTATTTATTGTCCAAGATGATATTGATTGAGATATGTGTGTCTTGGTGTGGTAAAAAGTATTATGCAAATGAACAATACCAACTGTCTGGTATGTTGAAAAAGAGATGTATAATTCCTTGAGAGAAGTTAACACTGCAAACAATAATATTTTTTAGAAAAGGAAAAATACTTGTTCATTAAAGCAATAGGAAATATATCCTTGCTTAGTAATAGATCAGTTACCATACAACTAAATAAACTTAATTTCTAATAACTATAAAACATGATGACCACTACATCTATGAAATAGAAACTAACAGAATATAAAATGGAAATAGAACTGCACTAGTAAAATCGAATCTCCAATTGGAGGCAGTTGTGGATATGTTGCAACAAATATATATATTCCTTTGAAATAGAGACTGGCACCATCCTTTTTAGTCTTCTCTATCTTCATCCTTTCTAATCTTTTCTCATAAAGGTTTTTCAACACACCCCATTGAGAGAGACTTGAAAGACTCCAAGCTCAAATATGAGGTATTCAAACTTGTCTTTAGGTAGTCCTTTTGTGAAATATTTGCAAGCTAATCCTTGGTGTTGCAATATTCAAGCACAATCTCTACATCTTTTATTGATTTGCATAGATATTTGACTCGAATGTGCTTGGTAAGACCATATTGTACTAGATTTCTTGCCATGGCTATGGTAGACTGATTGCCACTAGCAATTTAGTTCCAGTACACTAATCGATCCCAAGTCTAAGAGAACTTTTCTCAACCATTTGGCATGGTTAACTGCTGATGTTGCAACTATGTACTCCATTTCAATAGATGATTAAGCCACCACCTCCTGTTTCTTGGAGTTCCAAGTGAAGACAGCACTTCCAAGTGTGAAATAAAAACTATTGGTACTCTTTGAATCATCGAGACAACTTGTCCAGTCGCTATCGTAGTAACCCAATAATTATTGGCTCTCCTTTTTGCTCAATTTTAGTCCAAAGTTTACAGTTCCTTTGACATACCTTAAAACTCACTTGGCTGATGTGTGATGCACCTCTGAAGGACTTTGTATGTAATGGGATAAGACACCGATAGCATACATTATATCTAGATGTGAAGCTATCAAATAAAGAAGGCAGCCTATCAAGTTTCTGTAAACTATACCATTAGCTTTAGGAGCACCATTGTCTTTGCTAAGCTTGGATCCTGTGTTGAATGGAGTGCACACTACCTTGCAAACATTCATGTTAAACCATTTCAATAGGTCTTTGGCATATTTTGTTTGATGCACATGTATAGCATTATCGGTTTGCATTAACTCAAATCCCAAAAAATATGACATTTCTCCTAAGTTCGTCATGTCAAATTCTCCCATTATTTGTAACTTGAATTCATCCATAAACTTAGCATCTGAACCAATAATTAACAAGTCATCTACACAAAGAGAGATCATAAGGAAAATAAAGGCATCACAATTCTTTACATAAAGAGTGAGTTCATTAATACTGCAAATAAAACCTTTGCAAATCAAATATTTATCGATCCTCTCGTACCAAGCTCTTAGAGCTTGCTTGAGACCATATGCAGCTTAATAAGCTTACAAACTATACCAGATGAACCAAGTTCTTCTAAGCCCTCAGGTTGCTTAGTGTAAATGTCTTCAGCTAGCTTTCCATTAAGAAAAGCTTATTTGATATCCAAGTGCCAAATTTTCCATCTTTCTCTATCAACTAGAGCAATGAGCAAGCATATAGTGTCGTGTCTTGCAACTAAAGCAAAAGTTTCCAAATAATCCTCCCTATAAACTTGTGCATATCCTTTCACCACTAATCGTGCTTTAAATTTGTTGATTTAGCCATTAGATTTAACTTTATCTTGTATATCCATTTAACACCATGGTATTTTGATTTGAGGGTCTATCAACTAGAACCCAGGTGCCATTCTTTTTTATCATGTCTATTTCTACCTTCACTGCCTTCAACCAATTTTCATTAGTTGAAGCTTCATTGTACATTGCAGGCTCAACCACTGCCATATTGCATCTGTTGTAGATATCTTGCAAGGTTCAAGTTCCTCTCACTGCAAAGTCTTCATCTTCTTTATCTTGTTCATGTTTTCATTACCCAAAATTGCATCACTAACCACATTAGTGTTGCCCAATGCCTCAATTTGTTGAAAGTCCCAATTCTAGTAAAAATACTCATCAAATCTAACATCCCGAGTGATAGAGACCTTTTTGGTTTCGACATTGTATACTCTGTAACCTATAAAAGTTTCACTATAACCAAGATAGATAGTTACTTGAGCCTTTCGATCCAACTTAGTCCTTCTAACATCTGGAATCTTAGAATAACATATACATCCAAACACATGCAAATGAGCAACTAAAGGTTTAACTTCAAACCACATCTCATGAGGACCCTTAGTTTTGTCAGCTCTAGTAGGTAAAACATTGAGTAAACTTACTGCTACACTGGCTACTTCTACCCAAAAATGGTTTGGCAAATTCTTGTCATATTACAGGCATTTAGTCATCTCAATGATAGTTCTATTTTTGCTCTCACATACACCATTCTGTTAAAGAGAATAGAGCACCATGAGATGATATTTGATACCACACCTAGCAAGATAGCTCTTAAATTCATTGGAGCAGTATTCTTGATAATTATATTTTATAGAATTATTTTAGTCCAATTTTCTTATTGAATATTAGCTAAGTCCTCAATTTTTTATTATAATTTACTTATTTTTAGTTATTTTTGTAATTAGTTTATTTTTAAATGGGTTATTTTTATTTATGTTATTTCTTTTAATTTGGTTATTATTTATTAATTTTTATATTTTTCGTAGGAGTTAAAGGAATTGGACTTAATTTTGAAAAGTAAGGTGTTGAAAAACCTAAAAGTTTGTTTATATATATCTTAATATTTTGATTATAACTCACACTACAAAACTCCAAATGATGTGATTCTTGGACCATTGGAGACAGAGCTACAACTTTTATGCGGAACACGTTACCCAGTTCTGCTTCGAAGATAGAAAAAATCACGTCGAAAAATGGCTAGACATACTGTGCTAGGAATAAAAATTTATAAAGACTGACAATTGATTTTTGGGGCCTCTCAATACACTTTTAAGCTCAATTGAACCATAGGTCAACATAGGGAATCATAGATTAAGTCTATTAGTATAAATAGGATATTTTTAAGAACATTAGGAGAGACAACTTTTGGAGATTCAAGAAGCTAGAAATTGAAGCTAAAACTTGGAGACCAAGGCGGCAAATATTTGTTTTTGTTTTCTCCCTTGGCTTTTACTTTTTTTGTTACTCTCAGTGGTTGAAATTATTATAATGTTATTTATCTTTGCAATCATGAGTAGCTACTTTTCTTGTTCTATGATTGCAATTGAACTCACATGTAATCTAAATTTTTATACTTTTTCTTACTTATTTTTAATGGGATTTGAATTATTTATTCCAATTTGTTCTCAATGCTTTTAATTGTCTAGCCACCTATTAAATTGATTTAGAAACCTAAACAAACTTGAGAAAGAGAGTTTAGTATAGACTAAAATTAGGATAGCATATGATCATATTAATTAATTTGCGTATAAGATAAGGATATACATATTGGTCATATATAGCTAGATTAGAGCCTGAACTTAATGAGTCTGTGTTAATTTCAATTCACATAAGAATAGTGTTTTGGTTAAAATAGATATTTTTATAAAATGAGCGGGAGACCCTTATAAATAAATTAAGATTCTAGGTTAGCAATTTAACTTATTGAAATAAGTTAAGGAAGAGAGGTAAAATTTAGATGAAGTGTGAAGGATATTGTTATCTTAAGCTTGTTTGATTTGATATTTATTCGAGTATTTATTATTTCGATTTTTCTTAGTTTAAACTTTGGTTAAGTATTTTTAGTTAATTAATTTGGTTATTTTGATATTGATTGTTTGGATAAGATTAATTTATTATAATTTTAGTACTTAGTAAACTTTTAGATTAATTTCCTGTGGGATCGATACTCTGCTTGGTAATATACTGTATATTCGATGCATATACTTACATAGTAAAATTTTAACTGACAATTCTTTCCCATTATCAGTCTTTAAAATCTTCAAACTCTTTTCTGCCTCATTTTTTATAGGTGCTTTAAATTGAATAAACTTGCTGTAAGCTTCAGATTTATGCTTTAAAAAATAAATCTAGCAATACCTTGAGAAGTCATCGATGAAAATTATATAATAAGCACTGCCACTCAATGAAAAGTTTGCATAAGTCCACCTAAGTCTGATTGTACCAACTGCAGTTTCTTAATGGCTCTAAAATCACTCGACTTAGGAAAGGAGAATCGACTTTCTTTGCCAAATTGACAACTCAGCACATAGCTGATCTGAAGTAGTAACAACAGGAATTCCTTCAACCATTTTATCTGAAGATATTAACTTCAAAAAGGCATAACTAACATGCCCCAATCTCCTCTGCCAAAGTTGAGATTTATTGATGCTACAATAATGAGCTTTATGCTCTGTTTTAGACATGTCAAGTGGATAACATTTATTTTTCATTACCACAGTAAGCATCTCATCTCTAAAGGGGTCGAAAATTGTACAATAATCATCTTTAAACATAAGCCATAATGATTTTTTGCTAGCTAACTCAAACTCAATAAATTTTAATTGATTTCAAGAACATAAAAAACCGTAGATATCAACTTAGTACTTGATGGTGTTTCCACTGCAATAGTCCTAGTGCCAAGAATTTTTAAGTAAACTTCATTTCGATATCAACCCTTGATCTGAAACTTTTATCTAGAATGGTGAAGTTCTTGACATCTCCAGTCATGTGGTTTGAGCATCTACTATCAATCAACCAAATATGAGTCACGCCATTTTCATCAATTGAAGTAGCCATAAAAAGGTGTTCTATTTTAATTTCTTCTTGCTCCATTACTGCAGCCTTTTCATCAATTTGAGCATTTTTGGTTTTACACACTCGTTCTACATGCCCCATTTGTTTTTGTTTTTTTTTTACATGCCCCATTTGGTTGTAGGCCCTGTACTTAACATTAAGCCTATGCCAACAGTATTTGCTAGCATGTGTTTTCTTCTAACAATGAGTATATGGTGGATATTTATTACCATACTTTCCTTGCTTTCCTTCACTGACTTTCCTTTCTCTTTTATCACTTTCAAACCTCTTTGAGCCACTGTTATTGACCCTGAGTTCCCTTGTTCTAGCAGTCAGGGCATTTTCTACTGAGTCTTTATGCCGAATGGCTCTCCTTCGCTTTTGGGATTGCAATGCATTGATAAGCTAAATTACTGTAAATTCAGACATGTTTTTAAAATCTTCTAGAGAAGAGATTTTTGCTTCAAACGTCTCTGGAAGGCTTACCAATACCTTATTTACAATCCTTCTCTATGATAAAACCTCCCTCAATAACCTTAACTAGTTTATAGCCTTTAAAACCTTGTCAGAATAGTCTTTAATTGTCTCATCTTCTCTCATCTTCAATATCTTGAACTCTCTTAACAAATGGAGAACTTGAATCTAACGTGTTTTATCACTGCCATGGAATTCTTCTCAGAGTTTGTCTCATGCCTCTTTTGAAGCTTCACATGCCATTTTTTGTGTGAATATTGAGTCTATTACTACCGAATGAATACGTGAGAGTGCCTTGTATCGTTTGGCCACCTCCTCATCGTGTTTTTTCATCCGAGTGATGGTGGGCCTCGCATACCTCATGACAAGAGGTTCTCCATCGATTTCAACAACCTCCCATAGATCGAAGGCTTGAAGATAAGCCTTCGTTTTCTCTGCTCATATAGGGTAGTTTTGCTCATTAAAGATTGACGAAGTTAGAGCATTAAAACTTAAAAATGACTTCAGAGTTCTGTTTTGTTGTTGATGAGAACAACCTAGCAATGGTTTTGAAGCTTCGTTTTCTTGCTAAAACTCAAGTATAAGGTCCTGTACGATCACTATTAATGCTCTGATATCAAGTTGAAAAAGAGATATATAATTCCTTGAGAGAAGTTAACACAGCAAACAACAGTATTTTATGAAAAAACATAAGTACTTGCTCATTAAAGCAGTAGAAAATATATCCTTATTTAGTGATAGGTCAATTGCCATACAATTGTATAAACTCAACTTCTAATAAGTATAAAACATGATGACCACTATATCTATGAGATAGAAAATAACAAAATATAAAATGAAAATAGCGCTGCACTAATAAAACCGAATGTACATTTAGAGGCAATTGTGGATATATTGCAGCAAACATATATATTCCTTTGAAATAGGGACTGGCACCATCCAACTTTTTCTTTATCTTCATCCTTTCTAGTCTTCTCTCGTAAAGGTTTTTCAACATGGCAAATGAAAAAATGGAAAATTCTCATGCCTGATAAGACAAAACGAGAACTTGCCATGAATGCACTAGAAAATAACAAAATAGAACCTTCCCCTCATGGCAACAAAAAGGAAACCTTCTCGGTATATGCTACTAGCTAATAACTCTTAATGGTTTGAACTATAACATAATAAATGGTAGAGAAGATATTACATATGCCATCACAACTTCTATCCTTCTTCTATTCTAGTCCTTTGCCTCTGCACTGTTTATCATCATCAAGCTACCTCATTTTCAGGTCAAACTTATCTCGAACCTCTGTGGAAAACAGTGAAGGCTTTGATCCAAGACACAAGGATACGACAATGAACGTTCCTTTTAGATTTCAGTACTATTTGTCAAACAAAATTGAACTTCAAATTGCTATAAAATGGGTACTCTGCCATAAAAACCAGAGCTCCCATATTCATTAACAAGAAAGTAGCATGATTGTGAGTCCCATTTCTGGGGAAACGTCAAAGAGCAACATAAATATAAAAGTTACTACTGCAATGCACTCTAGCAATAAGTAAAACGATGATTCCCACAAGAAGATATGCTATATTGTACTTATAGCGAAGCTGGGCTACATAACAGCATAATTAAGCCAGCTTAGAATATAATGCTATCAGCTAGAAACTCCTGTTTGCTAATAGGAGAACTTCAGTTCTCTCTTATAACACAAACAAAAAGCTTGAATCGATATGAGGTTAAAATCCAAAACTTTGATAAGGAATACTAGTTAGCCCTCTAAATGACATAATCAGACCACTCAGTGATGTGTGAAGTATGATCCATAGTAAAACTTGGAATCTTGTCAAGCTTGATGGGGTTCTCCCTCCCTCCTACCAATCTAGCTGGGTTCCCTACCGCAGTAGTCCTTGGAGGCACTTCCTTTAATACCACAGAACCAGCACCAATCTTTGCTCCATCACCAATCATAATGTTCCCCAAAATACAAGTACCTGCACCAATCAAAACTCCATCACCAATCTTTGGATGCCTATCACCAGAAACCTTACCAGTTCCTCCTAACGTCACATTATGCAAAATTGACACATTGTTTCCAATCACTGCCGTCTCTCCAACAACAACCCCAGTGGCATGATCAAGCAATATCCCACTCCCAATCTTAGCTCCAGGATGAATATCCACAGCAAAAACCTCAGACACCCTGTTTTGTATCAACAAGGCCAAAACTTTCCTCCCTTCTGACCATAAATTATGTGCTACCCTATGAGCTTGGCATGCATGGAACCCCTTATAATTCAAAAAGCAATGCACATAACTTATACAGGCAGGGTCTCTTTCTTTAACAGCTCTCAAATCTTCTTTAACAGCTCTTATAATTCCTTGATCTTCCACAAGCACCCCCATGAAAATATCAAATAAAGTACTACTGAGAAGACTTGAATTGCTCAACTTGATTGACAAATGATTCGCTAAAGCACTTTCTAATGAATTCTGAGACAAAATCGAGCTGTAATAATAATTTGACAAGATGGGTTCTTGCTCAACATCTAACCTTGCTTCTTCCTTCAGTGCCAGCCATACAGCGTCAACATCTTCTTCTTCTACTACTACTGCTTCTTCTTCTTCGAAAGGAAAATCAACAAGTTTTCTTGTGGGGATGGTCTTTGTCTGGTTCTTGTTGAAGGGCATGCTTGAAACATGATCAGGAAAAGTGGGTCTGCAGAAATTCACATACTTGTAACGATTTTCATCATGTTGAGACCTGTCTGGACGCTGGGAAAGTTGGGAAGGCTCTGTTGCTCTGGAGGTGTCAATACAAGCAGCCATGGATTTAGAAAGCTTGTGGGGATGTTTGCTTGATTGGAAAATCGAAGAAGAAAGGTGTGGATGAGAGAAAGGAGGAGACTTGCTATATAAAGGGAGAGGCAGAGGTCGAGGTGTCACCAGAACTTTCATGGAAAACAAGATTTTCTAGGAAAATGTATTTGCTTTAGTTAATTACAATAGACTGGCTTAAAGAAGCGGCTGCTCCCGGGAACCTTAGTCTTCGCTCACATGACTTTATAAAGAGTTCAAGCCTGTCCTAAGGGTAGGAACGGTAATCTCTTCTTCTCTAAATATTTGTTTGTCTTTTTCACAAAGATTAAAATTAAAAAAAAATAACTTTGATATAATTTTATATTAAAATTTTTAAAAAAATTATCATATAAAATATTTAATATTTTTTAATATAAAAATAAATTTATAATATAAAAAATAAAATATCCAATATCTAAAAAAAATCGGTTTGGGACTTAAAAAAAACCTATGACCAAAAAAAAAAAAACAAACGAAAAGAATAGTAATAGTAATACTTTATCTCAAGTCAAATAGGAATATAATTATTAAGATCAGTATAGTGATTTAAGTCATTTACTAGTAATAATTGAATTAATATTTAATATATCGATAACATATTTGATGTATTACATTGTTAGGTGATTAAACTTTAACATCTCATTAATGAAGTATGACTTTGACATGATAAGATCCCAAAATCATGAAATATTATTTTGATTTGATAAAGTCCTAAAACCACGTTAAGTTTTAATATCAATTTTTATTAATTTTTAATTTTTTAAAATAATACTTTACGATTTAGTGTATAGAAGATGAGGTATTATTTATTATTTTGACTTGATAAGGTCTTAAAACAACATTACATTTTAATATCCATTTTTATTTCTTTTAAAATAATATCTCAAAATTTGGTGTATAAAAGCTATATAATACTACTACATCAAATATTTTCTCTTAGTAGTTTATGGAACCTAAACCACATCATCCTTACAAATTTAGACCCTTAAAAGTGGAGACTGCTGCATCGAAACCCTTTTCTTTTTTAAGAAAATTGAGATGGTAGAGCACCTCAATGGAGTGCCCTTTTGCCCCTTTCTACACAACAACATGATGGGAATAGCATGAAGTCCACTTGATGATAACCTATTGAATGTTGCATAGCATTGCCTTTGTGTCAATTTGTGGTCCTTTGGCCAATGCTAGCTACACTTCCTACTTCTTCCTTTGATGACAATCATGATCCTTTTTCAGGTTTGGGTTTTCCCCCAACCCACCCATTTTTTTTATCTAGAAGAACCAAAATTGGAGGTAGAGATTAGAGTCGGAGAGAGGAGAAGGAAAGTGGGAACATAGCTTAATTTGATGTGCATTTGGGGGGGTTTGATGAAAGAGAAGGAGACAGCACACAACTTTCTTCATTTACTTAACCCTTCAAGTACAAGTTCTTTTGCCTTTTATGGGTTTCATATATAAGTGGATTATAGGCTCTTTAACTCTAAAAGAAAAGAAAAAAAAAATCATAAAGACCTATTAATGTAGAAATAGATAAGAATGAAATAATTTTTGGCATCTTATCATCAGGTCAAAGATAGTTTTTGTTTGAAATTGAAAGACTTGTGAATTTATTGTGTCAAATTAAGTAAAATTATAACAGTAGTCATATAACTGATAACTTTTAATATTAATAAGAGAAAATATATATAAAAATTATAATGGTTTTATGACCCAAGAATATGTATCAAAAAAATTAAATGTTCGGAGTTTGAATTAAATTTTATTTTATTTTTATAGTTTTTTTTTATAATTAAGATAACCTATTGATTAAAATATTGATTTGAGAATGTGGGAATCATTTTCTTATATCTTAACAATGGATCATTATTAAATACAGTTTAATAAAGCTCCTTTCTTTTGGGCAAAATAAAAAGGTTTGAACTTTGAAAGCAACAGTTTAACAGGGCTGTGACGTGGGCGATGACGCGTGGCCTAAAGAACACCTGTTAAAGAGAGGACAAAGAGGACATTTGACTATGAGCTGTCGTCTGGTCACCGTGACTTCCACGCATCTTGCGTGTAAGTCTGTAAAATACCTTTTGACTTTACCAGGACACTGATTACGTCTTCCAAGTTTGAATTGAACTCTTTAACTGCCACTCACAATGGGTGGAAGAGGCCCCACCTGTGCGTGGCTGCTATTTTTTTTAAGTTTTCACCCATGGCCGACATTAAACTTCTTCATGGGCTGGGTTGGGCTGGGCCGGGCCGTCCTATCCGTAAACTCGATTCAATCTTCCAATTTAATGTTAATGCACATTTTCTGCTCATGTGACGTATGATATTACGATTGAAAAATTCATATCAATTGTCGTGTCACATATTATATAGACGAGAAAATACTAATTGGTATTAGATTTAAGATTTTGTCGTGAACTCATATGTCTAACTTAAAAGACGTAAGTACATGTTAAGTTGAAGGAAGCTATAATTGTATATAATTTTTCATTTATAACAGAATGAGATTCATTTTGATTCAAGTTTATCACGAGTTTAATATTTTTAATTAAAAATATCACATTAAGTAAGTTTTGAAATCATTAAGTTTTGAAATTACTTATCACGAGTTTGTATTTTTAATTTGAAAAACATACATATTAAACTCAAAACGCATTTTATCTTTATTAATATGAGATCTACGAAGTTATAATTGTTAATTTTTATTACAAATGAAGAGCTTGTGCAAATACTTTTTATATCTGAAGAAGTAAAATTCAAATTCTGTTCTTGAAACAAAATTATACCTTGATTACCAAATCAAAATTTAACTTACAATAATCAATTTTTATATTGAAAAATTCAACGTTAGATAAGCTTTTTCAACATATAGGTAGACATAGAATTCAAGATTAATTCCTCCTCAATGGCCCATATGATGAACTTGAACATCATTTGTAGGACCCTCCATCCAATGACCCTTTCTCACCTTTTTGTTCAAACCAAGAGGCGCCTCTTGCAATTGCTAGGCAGACCGCTTCCCTCGCCTATCTTATCTAAAGATGCTAGCCTTTCTTGATATGGTCCCACAAACCAAGCCTTTTGGCTCATGATGTTGCCCCACACCATTGAGAAGGCACCCATCGAGTTGCCTCCTCCCTCCATATCCACCAGGCAAACTTAGTACAGAAATGGGATTAAAACCTTAAAAGTGGTATGATTTTGGATGGCTTACACGATACATTGGATTATGATAAATAAGTTGTTCTTAGGATCTAAGCTAGTCAAAGCTAGAATCACCCTTTATTTGCTACATGTTTGAGCCATTAAACATGGGCATTATATAAGCATATACAATTGTCCTTAAAGTAACCATTTTAAGTGAGAAAGGTCGGAAGCACATTCATAGGGTTTCATATGTTACAAGTGTCCAAATTTTCAATTGCTTGATTAATGTCTTTTGCTCATGAAGGAATGAATTAATTAATGGAATTACAGCAATGCAAACAAATTGGTTTATCTTTGTTTTGTTTTTTAATGGCATACCTTGCCAAATTGGATTGCCTACATGACTCTTTATATTTTTGTAGAGAAATTGATAACTTTATTAAATAAAATTAACAATTTAATTTTTATGAAAACATAAATTAATTATCTGTGTGATGTCAATTAAGATGTTACGTGAAAAATATTGAAACGAAAGAAGATCGCAGATTGAATTTAACCAAAAATGTATTATTTGTTTTGAATTCTGAATATAACAAACAGAAAGAGATTGGACATATATAATTGATATGTTGAAGTCACTCTCTCTAAAGAAAAGAATCCAAAAATAGCAGCCTTGGTGGGTCCTATGAAAGGGAGAGGTGGGGGAAGCACCAAAATGTCAGAAGAGAAACATGCAATCAGATGGTACACTTTAGGATAATGATGGAAGAAGAAACAAGATTATGGTAGATAACCTGGGCAAACTCTTTATCGTGGCCGACAGTAAAATCCAAGGACAGTAGCCAGGCTACACCAGATGGAACCAGTGAGAAATATTTGGTGTAAACATCATCATGGGAATTAGTCAATGTTCATGGAGATGTTGAATGCATGCACTAGCCATGTCCACCAGCCTGAAGAACTTTCCTTTCGTTTCCTTAGATTTTGAGAGGTCGTAGCCACAAAGATGAAAGAAATCCAAAAGTGGAATTTGCATGAGCCTGATGGATTTGATCCCAATTCATTTGGCATCACATGGAAGGTGATTACAGAAAGGACGGTACTCTTGCTTCTTATCCTGAAAATCAGTGGACAGCCTGAATTTTGCTGCTGAATCTATGGGTGATTATGTCCTCAAAACAACTGGCTGACCTGCCTTCAGTTGCTTAATCCACTATCTGAAATATGTTCCATCTTGTCCAAGAATTGGTCACCGAACTATCGTTATTGCAATAACCCTATAATTTTATATGCTAGTGCTTGTATCTGTAGAGGTATTCATTTGTAATAAGAAAAAAGAGTTGGTGTTGTAGGAAGTAAAATAAGATGCGTTATAGACAAAGTTGGTGTTGCAACAAGTAAAACAAAATGTGTTAAAAGAGACACAGGAAAAACAGATTACCCTATTATGTATAATAGGATAATCGGTTTTATAGACATTCATGCCATTAGCGATACAGTTATATTAAAAAATGCGATACTTGTTTTGAAAACATATTCGCACTTCGAAAAAAGATATAGAAGAAAATTTTTTTATCAATTTTCATGTCAATTCAAACTCTCTAAAACATTTTATGAATGAAACTAACTCGGAAATCTTATCACCCTTCTTGAGTTACAATCATTTAGCAAAAATCAAGAAAACAAATTTCTGAGTTCTGACACAATAAAGATAATTCATAGAGATGATTTAGAACCCAAAATTTACTGGCTCGAGGCAATATCAATCTCAGGGTGTCCCCAAATAGTTCACAGACAGTCAAGTCACCCCTTTGTACCCCTTCTCTTACAGTTCCTTTGATTATTCTTCTTTTGATCAGGGTTATCAACAGTATGAAATCCATAAAATTCTGGGCCAGGCTTACACTAAACAATGATGCACAAGCTTGTTATATAAAAGCACATGAATCAAAGGTTAATAGTGCTTGATATGCACTTTTGGCATATCAAACAAGTTTCTGCAAGAGAGATTACATAAGGAACAGCCATA